GACTGTCTCAAAAGAGTTTACATTATGTGGCAGTTAAGCGGAATAAATAGAGGCTAAGTGACATGTGATTTTGGTCTAGGACGATTGAGGATAAAATAATCGAGTCCACAGAAAACTCTTTTCTCGTGGACCAAGTTTCGGTCACTGTTTAAAGTGGAAATGACCGCCTCAATCGATCCATTGTACGATGCACTGTTTCCATTTTCCTAGAGATCGTATCCTAGCTGAAGTAATCAAGCTGCCCAGGAGATCGGACGGTTTTGTTACCCTGTGCGAGCATTCGAAAATTGACCTCTAACCAGGAGTGAGGAACGGCTCCAATTTTCACTGCCTCCCATTTCTTATGTACTATACGGCAAGTTTAGCCTCAGAACTTTATTGCAATGGCGGTAGTTTACGTTGGTGCACGCTCCAAGATGAGATCTGTCAGGCTCATACCCTATAGGAAATTTGAGCATTTCATGGTCATTACTCATAGAGGTGCAGTCAGGGAATCGTCGTAGGTAAGTCTCCAACGAAGGGGATGCATTCTCAAGGTGAGCCAGTTACAATGGACAATGATCTCTCAATCGAAATAGGACGACGCCGTAAAGCAGGATGGGCAACATTCAATAAGTATCGTGGAATTCTTACTGACAGGCGGCTCGACTCGAATCAAAGCTCGAGTGTTCAACACCCATGTGTTGACGGCATTGGTGTATGGTAGTGAAACGTGGAGCACAATCAAAGAAGAAGAGAGAAAACTGGCGTCAACTCAAAGAGCAATGGAACGATCAATGTGCGCTGTGACGTTAATGCACAAAATTCCTGCTTCCTGCAACGGTCGGAGTTTTTGTACTCTTTTGAAAAGACTGGCGCTCACCACATACTGACCCCATTAACACGAGGATCGAATATACCCCCCCCCAACCACCATGTCGCACATCCATCGAGAATTCCTTGGCGTACGTTTGACTCTAGTAATACAAAGAGCACTGGAGGTTAGGTGCTTTGAGCAGCTCCGGGAATTGGTTGATTGACGCTAAAAGGTCTTAGAAATAATGGTTTCTCCCTGCAAAAAATTCTTTCCTATTTTGTTTGCATTCATCAAATCGAATTATGCAACTTTGGGATCGCGCCACCGATTCGACTCTATTCACAATTGCTGTGGT